AAAAAAACAGCTAAAAGCCATTTTATTGAGAAACTGCACCATACACCTACCTTTTCCAGCAGCTTCATGAACACGTCCATTAAAAGGATTTTGAGTAAACACAGGCTTATTATCATTTTGGTCAATCACGTTGATGAGAATTTCCATTGGACTTTCTTTTACATTATCCACGTCACGTGCTACAGCATGAGCTATAAGCTAAAGAAATGAGAAGAAATTTGGGCATGTTAAGGGGCAAATAATGAATGGGTTTCTTTAAGTGTTTTAGTCCATGTCTATTAACTTAAGGGGCTTTCGCACCGCGTAGTTCTAGGAACTTAGTTCTAGGAATTAGCCAGCAGGGTCGTTCCTCAATAACCAATTTCGCCTTCGGGTTTTCCCTAGTTGCATTTGCACCAGCAGCAGGAACTCCGAAGCGGCTGACAGCGACGTCTTTATGTGCGGCATTTACAAATGTCAACAACCAGTGAATGGAGGACGCTGTGATCGGAGCGGTTTTTGTTGTCCGTTGTGGGTTTCGTGATAACAGAGAATGTAAATGCACAATTTATGCGATTGAAAGAGCAAAAAGTTGGGCTAAGAGACAATTTCCTATGACAACTTGCAGCGTTACATATTGCAGCAGAGAAAAGAACGACACTGCAGACAACATGTAAATGCCGTTATCACCGTTTTCCATCTTTGTGGAGTAAATGTGTTTACATGGTTTTTTTAAAATACCGGGTAGTTGGTGTTTCACGTGCGTTTGGCCAATTAGTGTACACTTACATCACTGATAGTTCCTATAGAACTGTTTTATTTTAGACCCAACTCTGAAGTAGGAGCTAATTTAGCTCCCTCAAACGTTCCTGGAACTAAAACGGTTCCTAGGTCCTACAATGCAAACACACCAAAAAGCGAGTGCTTCTGCCAATAGTTCTAGGAACTATGAAAAGGTTCCTCTTGTGCGAAAGCCCCTTTTGAGACACTGACACTCAAGGGTAGTCCTAAAGAAAACGGACTTAATCTTTAGTAGATATACAAAATTAAAATGCAAGGTCTCATGCAAACACATGACAAGAAAACTGTGTCAAGTCATTTCATCGGATTAAAAGAGGACAGTTTTCAAAGAATTAAGAATGATCAGACAGTTTAGTGCTGAAATACACCAAGAACTAAATGTTGATTTTAAACGTTATGAGATTAAAATCAACTCACTCTGTACGAAGCTTTTTTTTCTCTGTCGAGTGGCTGAGTGACAAAGAGATTCCCTGATAATCTTTCAACAGTGAAAAGTCCCTTTGGGTCCTGATCTGCCCCTTCACCTGTGATGCTGTACACCATTGGAGTTTCCTTGACAAAGTCTGACTTTATCTAAACACAGAAAGCAATAAGAGATAGTCAATGACAGACAAAACTCTCTCTCAAACATCTAATTCTGAACAGTTCTTTCATGACTTCCACTCACCTGGACCAGCTTCATCGGGAATGGCCCTCTGCTATTCTCAGGCACATGGAACGGAGGAATTACCCAACCTCTCTTTGCTCTCTTTAGACCCGTCGAAGACTTTGGGAAAGTCAGAACCTGATCAGAGGGCGATTCCA